GAAGAGGAGAAGGAGAGGGAGAAGGAGGAGGAGGTAGAAGAAGAAGAAGAGAAGGTGGAGGAGGACAGAGTGGAGGAGAGCCCAGCAGCAGAGATGGAAAAGCTGGCTGTAGGGCAATGTGGGGCAACAGGGGGGACAGAGGCAGCAGGGCTGGGGCTGGAGCAGGGAGTCAGGGAGGGCGATGGCACGGGGAGCATGGCCACAGCTGAGCCAGGCGGACCCCCAGAGCCAGGGACGCCCAGCGAGGAGCTGGAGCCAGCTGAGGGGATCCCGGAGCTGGAGGGCAAAACCCCCAAAGAGGCACTGGAAGAGGGGGGCTGCATGGAACAGCAAGCAGGCAGCGACCCAGAAAATGGTGGGGAAGGCAGCATCCCCCCAGAGAGCTTCAACCCTGGGGCAGCGCTCCAGGATGGGTGCTCGGGGGCAGACGAGGAGCTGGGAAGAGGGACAGAAATACCCCCCACCCCATAGCAGCCAGGGAAGGGAGTGATGCACCCCCAAGGTAGTGCAGCAAGAGCAGAGAGCTTGGAGCCACGATCCTGGGGCACGGCCAGCCCTGAGCAGGGCCAGTTACCCCTGGATGGGGGAAAGGCTGCTGGACCACTGACTAGGAGGCACAGCACAGGCAGCGGGACTGCTGTACCCTGAGAGAGAGCCCCAGGGCCAGGGACTGGCCCTGCAGTGACACGGGAAGAATCCTGTCCTCACCCCGCCGCCGCCGGGACCACCAGCCCCGCTGTGCAACAGCGCCTGCCGCCTCCCTGCCCCGACTCATCGGCTCCAGCGCCTTTCAGCTGGGTCCCACTGAGCTTTGCTGGCTGAGAAATAAAAGCTCTTCCCTGGCACCGTGTGCTGGATTCATTCCTGGACGTGACCTGCTTCCCTGATCACAGCCTGCACCTCCTGCCTTGCCCTGGAGCTTTCGGCACAGGGATGAGCATTTTGCTCTGCCCTTCAGAGGGGGTGTTAAACAGGCTGTGCTTCACCCCCATTTAAGCTCCTGAAGCTCTCCTGTGTGAGAGCTGTCCCCTGCAGTAGCACCTTGTCAAGCCTTTCCCAGCACCACCAGCCCTTCCAGGCAGGGGTGAGAGCAGGTCCAGCCCTACAAGTATCAGTCCTGGGCAGGCTTCACCACCAGCCAAGGCTTGGGCTGCAGCCTGCATGGTGGGGAGGGCCTGAGAGCCCCCCAGCCTTGCCCGGGGCTAGTCCTCAGCTGAGCCCCTCGTTGTGCCATGGAGACACGGGGAACATGGTCAGCACTTGGGGCAGAGGCACCTGGACACCCCTGGGCACTGGAGACCTAAAGATGTTCCAGGGAGAAAGCATGGAGGGAGAGGACTGCCTGCCCAGCATCCCACTGCTGCCTACATCCTTCCTGGGGCTGAAGGGTTTCCTACAGCAGAAGTTCCCGGGCGAAGAAGAGGGACTGTCCCCACACAGCCCTTGTCCCAGCCCTCAGGCTGCCGCATGGCCCTGACCAGACCTTGCTGGAAAAGGATGAAGGAAGATGGTGGTCAGGGGATGCACCTGTGTCTGGGGAGCCCGGGGCTTCGCTCACAGCTTCTGCTCTGCCTCGAATGGTGTGGACAGCCAGGATGACACAGGGCACAGGGACATCCACGTCCCAGCAGCCCTGCAGGAGCGGTGCCAGGGTGGCACAGTGCCAGGAGTGACCCAGCCGAGGTACACGGATAGAAGAGGCCAGAGCACCGATCCGGGTCTCGGTATAAATACAAATTTATTCTCTTTCCAAAGCAGAGATGGCGCGAAGCAGCGAGGACAGCAGCACCACAGTACATGGTTACCAGAGCATTAGCCAGCCTGCTCCCCCCCCTGCCGCATCCCGGCTCCCAAACAAAGCCCGAGCACCCGCCCGGCCTGCCGCTGCTCCCCACATCTGGCACCGGGGCCAGCAGCTCTGCCCTCATCCTGCCTTTTCCTTCCTCCAGCTCCCCCCAGGCTGGGTATTCCCGACCTCATCCTCACGCCAAAACCTCTCTCCCC